ATGGTTTCGGTACTATATGCTTTTCAAACCCTTGTTTGTCAATGAATTCGATTGTCCATTCTACCCATCATTGTATACACTCGAATTTATATTTATTGCTAGAAAAATGTGCTCTAAACCGTTTAGCAATAGAAAAATATTATTTTTTCTTGTACGATATAAATAGTATTCACGATATGACGTAAAAGAAAAAAAAATATTTTGAGTCAACATTCCTTATTATTTTAATTAATTGATAACTGACGTCGTATTAAGATTTTCGTTTGTGAATAACTAGGAGCGTTATCTGGAACTACCTGAATCAGTAGAAAAGTAAAAACTATGAGTCCTATCAACTACTTTATATGCACATTAGAGAGTTTCTTATAGTAAAGCATCAACAATTGAACATATATTAATGTCTTTTATTCCTTTTATTTATGTCTGAAGTTCCTAGATGCTGCAGAAAAGAGTGAACCAATACATCATGTAATCACTATCTGATTAAAGAACACATTCTGTTCGGCGTTCCATACTAGACAATAGATTTCCGGCAAGTTTCTTTTGGCAACAGATACCATTCCTTCCTGATTGCTTTGACTAATTCTTTGAAACTCGATGGATTCCTCATCGAAGCTTTCAGCTTGAGCAGTTACCATAAATTTCCCATGGGGTTCATGTGTGGATTGAAAGGTGCGCATGGTAATTTCTTTATACCATGCTGCATCTTCCAATCCTTTGATAAATGTGATCGATGTTTTGGTTCTTTATCTTTCATTAAAAGCCAATCATTCTTTCGCCCCAAATAATCTTTTGCTGTTGGAAGCAGACCATTTTGGTATATTTGATTATATAGGAAATGACTTTCAAGATTTTAATTAAAGCATACAATTTTACTAAAACTTTTGAAAGTCATGCACCCCCAAGCATTAGCATTTAAGGGAAATTTTACGGTCCTTCTAACAGTACGATTACCTGGCAGGTCCCAATGCATATGTCGAACAGAGTTCAAACGGAATGTTGTTTCATCTGTTGCTAGGACGTTGTCCGAATTTACATTTTGAACTAATTTTACCCATTGTAAACGATCTTGCTGGTGTTTTAATGTTAAAAATGGCTTTGATAAGGGTAATGAATAGCGGAGACAAGCTTCTTGAAGCCGGCGGCGGACTGTCATTTCACTCACGTACACATTTTAATTTTGTACGTGATCTCAAACTTTTTTGCTAGTTGGCTCTTCAGTATCAAACGTTGTCATAACAATCAATTTGTATTCTTTTTCCGTTGCCACTCGATGACAACGACCTCTTTCTTCATCATCAAAATATTTATCTTGTTTCCATGGAGCTAACCATCTTTTAACGGTCGACGTACTGCAATGTACAATTTTTGCTATTTGTTAAAAACCAAAATGCGGTTCCTATTGGTGCTTGGACAAGAGAACGACCTCATATTGTTTATTCACAGGGAGTGACATAATTTAACACGTTGTATTTTTATTATGAAGTCACAAGTTTAACAATGGTAATCAAGTGAGGAAAAAACAAGTATTCGAATACAACGAAATTTTGTCTCGCAGACCGATAAAGAAAAGAAACGATCCGAACACGTGTTTTCTTACGATTGCCGCGCTAACACGTCTGATTCGCAATCCGAGCCATTAGCTATCGTTTATATCATTTCAGCCCGTAGCAGTTACAAAGAGAATGAAAATATTCAAAAGTGTCTGTATCATTATATTTAGTACAGTTTTTATTTTGTAGTTATACATGTCGTCTTTGACGCACACATAACTTCGTTAGTGCACAACTATTAAAATGTCAGCACACATTTCAAAGGAAACGTTCTGATAAGCATAACTACTACGTCAGCTATCAATTAATCAAAATAATAAGGAATGCTGGCTCAAAATTTTTTTTTTCTTTTATATCATTTCGTGAATACTATTTATATCGTACAAGAAAAAATAATATTTTTCTATTGCTAAACGGTTTAGAGCACATTTTTCTAGTGATAAATATAACTTCGAGTGTATACAATGATGGATAGAATGGACAATCGAATTCATTGAGAAATGCGAGTTTGGAAAGCATACAGTACCGAACCCATTATGTTATTGTATTGCGAGTTAAGTATGCACTAGAATTCTGAAACTTCTAGGAAACATTTGTGAGTCGATGAGTATTCTGAAAAAAGAAATTTCAAATAAATCGGTCAATCCAAAGATGATTTATACAATAGCAGATTGAAAATCATTATAGGTGAGATTCAGTAGACACAGTTTGATAGAGCAATATTTCAGTAGTTCGAAAGTTTTTTCCAGTGAAAATTTCATGGAATCAAGTTGAGAAGTCAAGCTTTCAAAAAATGGGTTCTCTGAAACGTGAAGCGCTCGAATGACTGAGATGAAAGCTATTCAAGGTTTAGATAATGTTTAATATATAACTTTCCGCTATTACATTGGATCGATGTCGGGTTAGTGTCTGCAATCAGAGTTTCTTACTATACATATGCAGAGAAAATTTCAGATCAACAGTTTGAAATATTGAAGATCTTCAGGGGGGAGGGGGAGGAACTTTTGGCCAGCACTGTAGTTTGTATTAATTTTTAGTTTACAGGAACGAGAAACAATAGAAGTACATGAATTAAAAGAGATTTTTGACGATTTCAATCAATTACCATCATTATTCGCATCTATTGGTCATCTAATTAATATTCTTTATCAATTAAAAAATATTGATACGGCCATTTTAACTGATCCATTGATTATTAATCATGAATTCTATTCTCGACTCATCAATTTTTTGGAAATTATATTCAAAAAATGGAATCAAAGTTATTATCTTCCTGAATTTGAATCATTTTTATTTTGTCATATTATTGAAATTATCTCTAAAATAGAGAAACGCTCAGGAAAATTAACTCAATCAATCAAAAAATGTGTGAAAGATATTGCAAAGCATGGAAAACATTTATATGATAAAAATCACATGAAATATTTTTCAAAATTAGTTAGTCTTCATATACAAGATCAACAAATTATAAATGCACTTGTAGAATGTTTGCGTTCAAAGTATTACATTAAAATGTTTGAACGAATAGAAAATAAAGAATTTCTTCTCATTGCACGTCCAAAGTATTTTATGACTTATAGAGGTAAAATAGGGAAGTGGAAATAACATTAAAATTAAAATTTCGGATACTTTGTTAGGTCCAGATAAAGAAAGAATGGCTAATATATTGTTAAATACACTATTAGTATCTTTGCCTCGTTTATTACAGTTAAAATATTCGAAACAATGGTCGAAACATGTTACCCAATTGCTTGACTTACTAAATCATAGGTTTGCATTGTGTAGTTCAGCTATGTTTACAAATGATAATCTAGTGCCAATTACGCATGCTTTATTATCTATATTAAATGACCAATCATTGTTTGAAGAAAGTCTATCGATGATAAAAAGCATTCTTCGTCTTTTCATAACTTTGATCAATAATAATGAAATTATTTTACAATATCTCCAGCAGCATCAAGAACTTTTTCAGAATTTAATTGGCGCAGAAGATGAAACTTGCATAGTATTAACTTGTTTACTAAACGATTCGGAAATTAAATCTATGATCCACAGTAACGAAAATTTCGCCTCGAGTGTACGAATATACCTGGAACAACAAAACAATGCCAAAGATAGCCAAAGCAATTCATTAACAGCCAAGTTAAAACGTAAATCAAATTTTATGCTATTCTCTGTAGTATAAGTGAGAAAAAAGACAAAGCCATTGAATACATGCATAACAACTCTATTTTTTGAAATCACTAGTCACACAAATAGCTTTTTTAGAGTTCTGTAAATTTCCCGCCCCCTCACAAACGATTTCCCACTTAAGATATTACATTTGGACTGAAATTTCCAGGGATGAGTTATCCTGAGCAGATATGCATCTGGTAAAAATTTCAGCTCTATAGATTGTACTGGACCAGATTTCCAGCTGATTCATATGTCATTTTTGGCCTTCAGAAGAATCAATATAACTTCGTCGCAACACGTGCTATAGAGCTTGGGCGGCGGGAGGTGGGGGGTGAAATTCAAATCTGTGTCAATACACAGCTATTTATCAAACAGAATTTTTAAATTCAATCGCATTCATTTTTTATGAGCATTTTTAGTGACATGGTCTGAAAATTTGCATGAAAAATGGTGACTCAACGACAATAAATCCTACTTTTCTCAGGCCAGGAATCAACTATAAAAAAACTGGTTGATGAAAAGTTTTCTCTAATTGAAACCTTTAGAACAAAAAAAATATTGGCTATAGGCTGAGTTTTGAGGGAGTAGTTCCAATCTTTCTGATTAGAATTCATGTTTTGGAAAAAACGATAAACAAATTTAGAAATGAATTTTATAATTCAAATAAAAAAAGGACATTAAAACGATATATTCAGAATATATTTAAGTGCAGTTTTTAAAGCGCGTAATGAATGAAATATAAATACGTTATTCTTATCTGTAGTGATAGTAGGCACCTGATAATAGATATAAAAATGTTTATTTAATGCTAGTTCAAATAGAAAAGCAAAGTCTTTCAAATACTGAAAAATTTCAAAAAACCGCGAAAAAGTCTGGAAAAACGTGATAGTAGTCCTCACATCTCATCTGGCCAGTCTATTAAAAGCTGACCTTTCTCGAAAAAACTATATATACAGGGTGGGCCATAAGTAACACCCCGATAAGAAATTTAAATAACTCCACCAGATGTCGGCCAAATGAGCTGATATTTTTACCAATGATAGAGGCTTACTTAAAGTTTTTTTTCATACAGGAACCATGGACCAATCATTGTCATATGTATTAAGACCGACATGAATAAGAATTTTTTACTTGTTATGGATCATACAAAATATCATAAGGTGACTTATACGCATTTTCGAGACTTCTTTTCCTGATAGCATGACATTAGAGGATCAAAAGAAAGTTTATTATATCAATTACAGTGAATATAAATTGAGATTACAGAACTACTTAATTCAAATGTTCAAATTGATGTCCATTAACATCGATGCACTTTTGAAGTCTTTCTGGCACCGAATCACAAACTTTCTTGCACAGATCAGAATCTATTGTAGAAAAAGCTGAGATAATTGATTGTTTGAGACTGGATAAAGTTCGACGCTTGTTTTGGTAAACAATGTCTTTCAGATAACCCCACAAAAAATAGTCAGCAGGAGTGAGATCAGGCGATCGAGCGGGCCAATCAAGCGCACCACGACGACCAATCCATCTGCCTGGAAAATTTTCGTCTAACCAGTCTCGAACATTAGATGCATAATGTGCTGGCGCGCCATCGTGCATGAAAAAAAATGATACGTTATCTGGTAAATCATGAAATAATGGATAGAAGTAATCATTCAACATTTTGATATAACTTTGACCAGTCACCGTGTCGTCGAAGAAGTAAGGTCCGATCACGCCCTCAGACCAAATTCCAGCCCATACAATAAGCCCTTCTGTTTGCATTGTGTGCTCAATGGTAACATTTGGATTTTGAGTTGCCCAATAGACAGAATTATGACGATTAATGTGCCCGTTAAGTTTAAATACTGCTTCATCCGACCAGATCACACGATGGATAAGATTGGGTTCGTTTTTCAGGAGCGATAAAAACGTTTCGCAATATTCAATTCGTCGATCAAAATCATCTTCATTAAGCTCATGAACCAGTCTAGGAATATATGGCTTAAACCCCATAGACTTGTAGATACGTCGAACCGAAGTTCTTGAAATATTTAAGTCTGTACTCATTTGACGAGTCGACGTTCGAGGTTCCTTTTCTAAAATCGATGAAATTTCATCTTTTGTAGCTTGAGTAGTAACTGATACTGGTCTACCAGGTAAATCAATATTGAGTACCGAACCAGTCTGTTCAAATTTGTTCATAAGTGATCTTATCGTCTTTCGATCTGGAGGATTATTATTGATTTCCTTAGACCATAATCGTTGCACATTAATTGGATATTCAAGTCGATACATGTGTTTGACAATCCATGTCTTCTCGTTTATATTCAACTGGCGTCGTGCCATTTATTAGTTTGTATCTGAAATTTAAGAATGTATTCACTTCATTGATGATAGGGTCTTATTATTTGTGTGCAGGATAGCATAAACAGACAAGCAAAAGTTTACTAAAGATATTCTGAAATAATTCTATAGTATTTTGTATGATTCGTAAATAGTGAAAAATTCTTATTCATGTCGGTCTTAATACATATGACAGTGATTGGTCCATAGTTCCTGTATGAAAAAAAACTTTAAGTAAGCCTCTATCATTGGTAAAAATATCAGCTCATTTGGCCGACATCTGGTGGAGATATTTAAATTTCTTATCGGGGTGTTACTTATGGCCCACCCTGTATAGCCAAGGGGGAAACAGCGGACTTTTGGACTTGAAGTTACTTTGAGCTACTTTAAGCTACTTCAAGTCACTTGAAGTTACTTTAAGCTACTTGTTCCTACTTTGGGCTACTTCAAGTAGTCTACTTTGACATACTTTAGCGTACTTTTCTACTTCAAGTCCGCTGTTTCCCCCTTGTGTATAGCAGTTTAACTGTTTTTTTTTCAATCGATTATCACATTGATCCGTTTTGCGTTCTGGAAACCTATCTCGAATAGTTTCGTGTGTATTTTAAGCTTTGTACTGTTACATTCATCATCAAAATCTATGATTAAGTTTTACGACAGATATAATTTCATAAATCTTCAAACAAGTTAACGAACTGCTTTAATATTCCTGCTGAAAACGATAATTTGAGCTCTAGAATTGTCGATACGGTCCTAGAAATAATCGCATTTTCTTTAAAAACTGTGCACATGATTTTCTTTTTTCTTGTAGCTTGCTCTAATGACCTAATCACAATAAGTTTTTTGTTTATTATTGTTGATTTCGCAATGATTTAATCTATTTCGTATATTATAAATTGCTGTTGTGTACGATCAATCTTTGAGAGCCATAGTGCTATTTTTTGTTTTAATTATAATACCATATTGAGTGGTTAAGAATTTTATAAAAGTGGCTTGAAGATAAATCTTTAAAAAATAGAGCATGGAGGTCTTTCTGATGACATTCATTAATACTCTTTTTGTTAGTATCACGAACAGACTATCATGAAAAAATAAAGAAATTCTTCATTTTTCTATAATTGTATAGATAGAGAAAGTACTGATAAAATATTTTTTATTATGTCGTATAGAAGAACAAACCAGAAATATTTCCATCAATCACTTCGAATTCATAACAATCGCACTGACATCAACGTTCAACAGCATATAAAATACGTACGTAATGAATCGTTTTGGTGATATCGATTTGTCATTTAAAACACTGTCACCTGTTTATGGTTATCATGCTGAAGAACTCGTTCCAATTGAAAAAGCACTAAAACCTATCGAACCTCAAATTAACGAACTGCCTCGTTTTATAACAATAGCTAAAAAACACTGTCATTTTCCGTCGGAACATGGACTAACACAAGATCAATCAGCAGCTGTTTATATTTATACAATGGAATGGGGTGACACAACTTTGTATCGTGTATTAAATAAAGCATTACGCTCCGAAAATCGACACGAATTAAAGATATGGTTTTCATATTTAAAATTATTTGATACAGCATTGGATAAGTTACCTACTGTTAAAGAGGTAGTATGGAGAGGTGTGCCTCTTGATATTGGCAAAAGCTTCACCAAAAACCAAATTGTGACATGGTGGAGTATTAATTCATGTTCGTCATCAGTAAACGTTATTAAAAATTTTCTTGGCAACGACAAAAATTCAACGCTGTTTTTAATTGAAACCATTAAAGGAAAAAAAATTTCTGGATATACAGAATATAAAAATGAAGATGAAATAATTCTACGAATGGGCTCACAATTTCGCGTGAAGAGCGATACTTTAGATCAATCGCATGGTTCACATGTCGTACACTTAATTGAGATTGATGACAACATTGATCACCCATTACCACCGGGTAAGTTATTTATACTTTTTCTCAATGAAATAATGTTTTGTATGATACATATGTATAAAGTAACCAAAAACTGTCTGAATATTGATTAATTTCTATATGATAAAGAAAGAAGTTAGATAATTGTATCAAAATCTTTAAATAATGCAAAGTCTACGGTGTTAATAAAGAGAAACTTCCTACTAACGAAATTTCGACAAATATAAAATAATATTTATTTATTTTTTCAAGAAGTATTTTCATCAATAAAATAGTATGCAATAAAATTTGACCGTTTTAAAATTATTTGATTGCTATCCAAGAAAAGTATGCAGCCACTAGATGATTTCAATATATGGCCTGCTTGTCTATGAATTCTGTGTACTTCTTTTTTTTATATAGTCATTTTAAGTAAAGTGTTAGAAGAGAACATTATTTTTTATATGTTAAATAGCTAATATGAACGTATCATAATCGAATATTTTTTTTCTTAACTGTTCAACATAGAAGCATATTTTTTTTGAACCATTTTTAAATGGCCAATATTCAATTCCAGCCATTTATATTTAGACTAAACATAAAATTAGGTGACACTTTCTCTCTAACTGTGTTATTCGAATATTTATTCAATAGTACTGATGATGATTATATAGGTGTCCATTTAGAGAGATTGATAATGCATAAATAGTTGAATATTTATTAAAACTAAAAGTATCATCACCAAAAATATTCTGTTATGCAGATCTGTGTTCGTTGTCGTTATCAATCTTTTGAGAAAGAACTAGTGAGATAGCTAGGATATATTGTAAAAAAACATGGAGAAATAGAGAGAAAATTCATTAAGATGAACTATCCGATATCGGTGATGTAGTGTTAGTTGTATCGGTTTACTTTTTCAATTTTATGCATCATCACTATACTGATTTCGTATTTTAAATCTAATTATAATACCTTATTTTGAACGTATTAGAATTATTAGTCTTGAAAGTGAGAATAGTAGCGGAGCAGCGGGTACTAGAGAGAGAGTTCGTCTTCTTACGGATATTTGAGCCCCTTCCCCCCTCCCCCTCCCCCCGACGAATTTTTTTAAAGATGTACGTATTGACACAAAATAGTATTTGGGTGATTCCATGGAGTTTATACCACTTTGATGGAAGTGGTCTTGGATTTTCATTTTCGTCTTCTAATTCACCCGAAGACAGTCTGAAAAGCATCCAGCAAAAAAAAAATTACGAACTTGTCCAATGAATAGTGAGCACCCGTGGACAACACGAGGTACATGTACAATTTTTTTATAGTGAGATTTTGTTCCATATATGAGCTAATCCATATAAACCACNCAAAGTTTTAGATGCGCAATGGAATAAAAACCAAAAAGAGGAATTGATTTCAACAGAGACGTTCTAGTACACTTTACATATACCTCATTACTAGCTGAATTTGGAGCGAAATTTCATCAAATATGGCACGAAATTTTCGAAGGAACACCTTTAGAAGACATCCCAGTAACATATGCCAATCGCCTCCCAGACAATTTGAGCAAAATCCTCATACAGAAAAAACCACCAAAGAACATTATAAATCTCTTACCACAATAGAAAAAAATAATAAAAAAAGATGATAGAAAAGTAATCGACAAAAAAGAAAAAAGAGCATAATAAAGAAAATATTTTTCCCCTTCGGATGAATCAACAAACCAAGTCAGTGACTCTCTCTATATCGAAAAGAATCCACACTCGAAACAGATACTAAAAAGAAAAGAATAGAAGAAAAAAGAAATAGAAACTCATCTATTGATTTATAACGTTGTCAGATAAATGCTCATTCATCTGATACTAAGAAATGCATAACTTAATAAAAAAGCAAATATGTACAGGGTGTTTCATAAATAACACCCGGATAAGAAATTTAAATATCTCCGCTAGATGTCGACCAAATGAGCTGATATTTTTACCAGTGATAGAGGCTTACTTGAAGTTTTTTTTCATAAAGAAACCATGAACAAACTATTGTCGTATATATTAAGACCAACGTCAACAAGGATTTTTTACTTGTTACAGATCCTACAAAATGTTCTAAGGTGACTTATACGCATTTTTCAAGACTTTATTCTCCAGATAATGACATGAGAAGATCAAAAGAAGGTTTATTATATTAATCACAACGAATACAAAGTGAGATTATAGAATAACCTAATTCAAATGTTCGAATTGACGTCCATTAGCATCAATGCACTTTTGAAGTCTTTCTGGTACTGATTCACAAACTTTTCTGCACAGATCAGAATCTATTGTGGAAAAAGCTGAGATAATTGATTGTTTGAGACTGGATAAGCTTCGATACTTCTTTTGATAAACAATATCTTTCAAATAACCCCACAAAAACTAAATCAGCAGGAGTGAGATCAGGCGATCTAGCAGGCCAATCAAGTGCACCACGACGACCAATCCACCTTCCTGGAAAGTTTTCGTCTAACCAATCTCGAACAGTAGATGCATAGTGTGCTGGTGCGCCGTCATGCATGAAAAAAAAAGATTCGTTACCTGGTAGATCATAAAATAATGGATAGAAGTGATCATTCAACATTTTGATATAACTTTGATTCGTCACCGTGTCTTCGAAGAAGTACGGTCCTATCACACCTTGAGACCAAATTCCAGCCCATACGATAAGTCCTTCTGCCTGCATTGTTTGGTCAATCGTAACATTTGGATTTTGAGTTGCCCAATAGACAGAATTGTGTCGATTAATATGTCCATTTAATTTAAATACAGCCTCATCCGACTAGATGACACGATAGATAAGATCAGAATCGTCTTCCAGAAGCGATAAAAATGTGTCGCAATATTCAAGTCGTCGATCAAAATCATCTTCATTCAGTTCATGAATTAGTCTAGGAACATATGGTTTGAATCCCATGGACTTGTACATACGTCGAACTGAAGCCATTGAAATATTCAAGTCTGTGCTCATTCGACGAATTGACGTTTGCGGTTCTTTTTTTAAAATCGACGAAACTTCATCTTTTGTTGCTTGGTCAGTAACTGATACTGGTCTACCAGGTGGATCAATATTGAATACCGAACCAGTCTGTTCAAATTTGTGCATAAGTGATGTTATAGTCTTTCGATCTGGAGGATTATTATTGATTTCTTTAGACCATAATCGTTGCACATTAATCGGATATTCAAGTCGATACATGTGTTTCACAATCCATGTCTTCTCGTTTACACTCAATTGACGGCATGCCATGTATTAGTTTGTATCTGAAATTTAAGAATGTATTCACTTCACTTATGATGGAGTCTTATTGTTTGTCTATAAGAGAGTATAAATAGATGAGCAAAAGTTTATTAAAAACATTCTAAAACAATCCTATAGTATTTTGTAGGACCTGTAACAAGTAAAAAATCCTTGTTGACGTTGGTCTTAATATATACGACAATAGTTTGTTCATGGTTTCTTTATGAAAAAAAACTTTAAGTAAGCCTCTATCACTGGTAAAAATATCAGCTCATTTGGTCGACATCTAGCGGAGATATTTAAATTTCTTATCGGGGTGTTATTTATGAAACACCCTGTATATCAGACTCTTACTAGATTCCATCATTCGTTTACTTTCCTATTATAAAAATTATAAAAATATATCACATTTCAAAAGACTCGTTTTAAAATAACTCTTGACATCTATATTATATAAAGTATACTTTTTTCTACAAATGTCTATTTGCGTCATAAAACTTTATTTTTGCTATATTCTTAAAAACATATAAATATGTTTTCTGATAAAAAAACATATACCTTTCGAAAATACTTATTCAATAGCAACTCTTATCAAAAAATATATTTCTTCTAACAATATATACCTTTTTAAAATACATGATCAAAAATAGCTATTATCATTTATTTTATATAAAAAAATATATACATCTCTATCACACATACATATATATTTATTCTTTTTTCTAACAAAAATATTGTTCTCTATCTGTCTTCTACAGATGCATACTTTTTCATTACAGATATTTCTTTCACCATAAAAATATAAAAATATTAGCGTTTCTATTATATATAAAAATATTAGCGTTTCTATTATATATAAAAACTATATTTCTTCTACATATAGATAGATATCTTTATTTTTTCCTGACAAAAAACACTCTACCTTCCACTTATATATATTTTTGCCATTACGTATATCTCTTCTACACATACATAAAAATATTGTTTTCTGTTCTATAAAATATACATATCTCTCCTATACATACATAAGCAATTGTTAAAAAATGATTATTCTTTGTTTTATAAAAAATATGTCTCATGTATATCTCTCCTATATATACATAAATGTATCTCTTTTACACACATATAGATACTTTTTGATCTCATCATAAAAAATATTGTTCTCTATCTATGTTCTACATGTATATGGGTGAATCCATGGGAAACCAACCATTATTTTGAAAAAAGTTTTTTTTTTCTCAAGTTTTTTCTTCTAGTTAGATTGATCATCGATAAAAAATAGGTTTGGCCGAA